GAAGGAAGGAAGGAAGGAAGGAAGGAAGGAAGGAAGGAAGGAAGGAAAAGGAAGGAAGGAAGGGAGGGAGGAAGGGAATTTTTTCTGCCTGTTTACAAAACACCCTTCTTGGCACAGAATCCGGAACAGCTTTAGAACAGAAGGCACACAGCTCCAATTACAATTGTTCCTATGAGATTTTAGTCACAGGAACTGAAAACTGTCCAAAAGTACATCCAGCCTGACAGTGGTTCTGTCTAAGACACGTTTCTTATTCTTTTCTGTTTTCCACTTAGGAACTAAAAAGCTCTAGCAGCTGCCTCTCCTAAGCAGGGAAGCAGCTCTTGGACCTTCAGCAAAAATGCCATTGATTTAATATATTTTAACACTGGGTGAGCGGTCAGTCAAGATTGCTCTGCATGGACACAATTAGAAACCATTTTTCTGGCAACCAACCTTGAATTTCAATGCAAGAACCCTCCATGCCTTCAGAACCATCATTTTAGCCCCCCCCTTTTTTTCATTAATTAGCTATCAAAGGTATGGGCCACCTGAGATTCTTCAGAGACTAGTCAGTTAACAATCACCTTTCTGACAGAGGTTGCAGTGAGCAACATCCAGAAGGCTGCAGATTGCCCACCTTGAAACAAAGCAAAGCAAAAAAATGCACATCACATTTTGTTCTCTTTGGTTAGCCAAACTAAGAGGCAGCCTAATATAGATTCCCCAAAGCCAGTAACAGGTCATCTCCAGCTGTCCAGGCTCCAAGCTGCCGGCCAAAAGGATTGGCAAAGCTTGTGGAAAGTACATCCCTTTAAAACAGGGTGGGGGCAAAGTGACTTTTGGAAAGTAACAATAGGATTACTTTTAATCCAATTCATATATCGAACCTGAAGGTGGATGTACTATATAAAATTAGACATGAACACAGCCTTGCGTTTAAAAAGCAGCGTCTGCTGTATCTGGGCAGCAAAAGTAAACAACTCTCACAATTATATGGCTCTCGGGACTTTCAGGCCACTCCCCTTGCCTGGCCCTTTTCCAGCTCAGCCCACTTCGGTGGTGTCTGCAAGGCAGCCCAAAAACTTGATATAATTGCTACGACCATTCAACCAAAGTCCAGTCTCTTTTGAAGTATGTTATGATGCATGTAAAAAAAAAGGAGTAAGGCTTCAATTGTATGATTATGGTGGCCATCCTGATTATTTTGATCCCTCTGTTATCTCTGGCACAGTTTTGTGAAGCAGCACTTTTGAACAGAGGTGCTGCTGACTGACAAAAGGCAATCAGGACAATGTCAGATTTCCAAGACTCATATTTCTGCTTTCACATGTTTAGGTTCTACACAATGAGCAGCTTCTCTTGCTCCCTATTGTTACATATACAATGCTGGCTTGCAGAATGTTGCAGAATGATGGTTCAGTCAACTAAGTTTTCATCTTTGAAGAACTCTGTAAACTCTACCACAAAATGTGGTACCTATTTATGATAGAAGAAAGGAAGATTTCATTTGCCTGGTTTGTCCTGTCTAATTAAGATATACAAAAAAAACAAGAATGCTAGAGGACTCTAACATTTAAGTCTCAAATCATTCCCAAGTTTGTTTGATTGCTTCCAGAAAAAAACCAAATCTCCAACTGCAGCAAAACACAACAAAGAAA